CACAGTGCACAGGGCTGGATCTGGCAGCGCTTGCCTGGAGCTCTGCGTGATGTTGGGGGGTTGTTGCTTTAGGGGTATCGGGGGGGCAGAGGCGATCTGCACCCCCTACTGCTCTCCAGCACCTCCCAACTCCTCTCCTGGAAAGCAGCTGAGCTGGATGGGCCGGGGAGGGCAGAGAAGAGGGGGGTCAGCCTCTCCCCTAAGTCATCCGCCCCCCTCCTTTCCTCTCTGGGTCTCCTTTACAGTGTCCTCATGTACAGACAGGAGTTTGTCCCCGGATCTCCAGGACCCCATGCAGGACGACACCAAGGAGACGGACAACTCGACCTCCTCGGACAAGGAGACCACCAACAACGAGAACGAGGAGCAGAACTCGGGCACCAAGCGGAGGGGGCCCCGCACCACCATTAAAGCCAAGCAGCTGGAGACCCTCAAAGCTGCCTTCGCCGCCACCCCCAAACCCACCCGCCACATCCGAGAGCAGCTGGCCCAGGAGACCGGCCTCAACATGAGAGTCATCCAGGTAGGAGAGCCCCGGGCTGCCGGGAGGGAGGAGAAGGGGTTCTGGTAGGAGCCCAGATAGTTCAAGGCTGTGACAGTTTCCCCCAGGTGCTGGAAAAGGGTTGGGACACCGAGATTGTTCCCTCAGGGAATGGGGACAAGGGAACGCCATCTGTCCCTTGCGAGTGTCACCCCAGGCCCAGCCCTGCTCCCACTCCCGTTGTCCCGTGGGTGAGCGGGGATCCCCCACCCTGTGCTTTAATACACCCACCCCATGGGAAGGGATGAAAACCATTCCCAAAACGTCAGCCTGCGTGGCTTCCCGTGGGGCCGAGCAGGATCTCCAGCGCGCCAGGAGCTGGATGCTCCAGCCTTGTGGAAGCAAGGAGCATCTATTGCTCTCTGCAGGCAGCCGGCACTTTCTTACCGCACTGCCCCTGTGAAGAAAATCCCTGCGGAAATGTAGGGATTAATGGGCTTTAATAGAGGCATTAATAGGGGAGGACTCTCCGGCTTTGCCGGTAGTGGAGCTGCGATTCCCGGCTCCCGGCAGAGGGGAGCAGAAGTCCCGCAGGAGTGTGATGTGCTCGCTCTCCCGAGCTGCCCCGTCCCTGGGGGAGTGGGACAATAATCCAGACACCCCACCAGGCTGCTGAGGCGTGCGGTTCGGATTAGGCGATGTCCGTGGAGAGGCGGCCGCATCTCCCCTTTTCCCTTCCATTTCCATCCTCACTGCCGGCTGTTCTGACTCCCTGTCTGCTGCCGCAGGTGCTTATCTCCCCGCTTCCCGCTTTCCGCCTGCTTCTGCCGCCATCCACAGTCCTACACCCTTTCTCCTTCCCACTTTTCCTCCCTTATTCCCCGTATCCATAGGGGAAATTTCTCCTTCCTGTATTTTCCGGCTGGCCTCTCCTTTGCAGGGACAGATAGGCTGAGGATGTGCATGTGGGGATGCAGCTGGGGGCGAGAGGGGCAGGATTGTAATAAACCTTGTTATTTGGGGGGTGCGGGGTCCTCATGCACATTTTGGGGTATAAGCAGCAGGAAGAGTGGGGGCTCAGCGTCATTAAAAAAACCACCCAAAATGTTAAAAACCCAGGGTGGGTGCAAGATTGCCAACACTTCCCCTGACCAGATTTGGGGGGGAGGTGGGATGGGGATGGG